CTGAATGTATAGAAGAGGAAGAGCAACTTAGCCTTAGTTGTTTATCTTTTCTAACTTAATTTTATGAATGGGTGGAATAGTGGGGGGGGGCAAATTAACCTTAGTTGTTTATCTTTACATCTTTTCTAACTTAGTTTTCTGAATGGGTGTAAGTGGGGGAGCAACTTGGCCTTAGTTGTTTATCTTTATATCTTTTTTAACTTAATTTTATGAATGGGTGAAAGATGGGGAGCAATGTAGTCTTTGTTGTTTATCTTTACATCTTTTCTAACTTAGTTTTCTTGTGCAGTTGAAATGTTTGGATTACTATTTATATTAATTCAAATCACGGGATAATTGGGTAAGGAATGGCCAATTTCCAAATGATGCTTTTTCATATCTGTTTTTTTTTAACCTTCATTTTCTTTTACTTTTTTCACCTTGTTGAACATTTTTTTTTTTTTGTCCCAGTAGTATGTTTTTTACCTAGTCGTACGTTTTTTGTCCCATTTGTATGTTTTTTTGTCCCAGTCGTACTTTTTTTTGTCAAGTAGTAAGTTTTTTTGTCAAGTAGTACGTTTTTTTTGTCAAGTAGTACGTTTTTTTTGTCAAGTAGTACGTTTGTTCTTGTCCCAGTAGTACATTTTTTTCCTAATAGTACATGTTTTGTATGATGTTGGGTGAAATTAAGCTTCATATTTTACATCATTTTATTGTGCATATGATGTCTTCTAGGTATGTTGATAATGGAGAATTTGTACTCATTAATTATTTTATTAACTGAATGTGATGAATTCAGGCTTTCAAACATTTTCTCTAGATGTATACACACACACACACACACACACACACACACACACACACACACACATATATATATATATATATATATATATATATATATATATTTACAAATATTTAAGCAATTACATTTGTTTATATTCCAATGGGGGAACCAGTTGTTTTAACATATTTATAGACGTTCGCGTATCCTCTTTATGTGATAAAAAAAAAAACAACAAGCTAGCAAAAGTAGCATAAAATGTTTTAATTGCATTGCTTGTACATCATACTTTTGCAAATGGTATTTTTATATCCCCACCCCTGCACCCAGTTATTCAGCAGTAAGTCTGAAGGCTTGTAACACTAAAAAAACAGTGTTATATTCGTGATTAGTACTTTAGTCTATAGATATAGAACCTCATAAAAATGGTTTATAATGTACACATTGTTAATTGATTAGGTAAAAAAGAGTTTCTGTCACTTGAAAATTTGAACATCATCTTAATTTTTTATCTTCATTTTCATTCTTCTAAGATATTAAATTCTATTTTCAAACATTGACAAAATATATTATTTTAAAGATTGTGAGAATTTTATGAATGAATCATTTAATGTATTGTTTTTTAATGTTATTATATGTTTGAATACTTTTATTGTGCCCTTTTTTGGGGTTTCTTAACATTACAGTTTCTAATTTTTTTCAATTTAGTTGAATGAATACTTTTTTTTTGTAGCGAGCTATTATATCACGTTATTCATAGTTCAAAGTTTGTGGGTTTTCTCTTGAATGTATGTTTTATTTGTTATTTGTTTTTAAAAGGATGAATTTGTATATCAATTCTGATATTTTGATTTGAGCTGAATAAGGTTGTGGGTTTCAGCTGGTTTTCATTTTAGTTCTGTAGTGTTTAAATAAAGTTGTAAAATGCTTTTGTGATGCCAAAAACAACAGACTCTACACTGAATCTTGCTGGTTCATATTTTTATGTTGATGATATAACATTAAATAAGTTATGTAGTTTAACAAATACTGAAAAAACTTATAAAGTAGCCCCTTTTTGTTTATGGCTATTGAATCCACAATCTAATGTGAATAGTAGATAATTTAATTACTTGCTAAGATATGCTAACGTATGTCAATATTACATCATTTGGACAAGTAAAAAAACTTGTTCAGGACAGTTTAGAACTACCATGTGGAAAATTAAAGATATTAGCTATGTTTTACTTACTTGCATTTACAAGTATGATGCTTAAATATGTTGGATAAAAATTGTTCCTGTGTGTGTTCCTTTCTATTTGTTCTGTTAAAAACTAAAATGAATTTATTTATTGATAATATATAAAAAGGGAAGTGAAGTGTTACTACATTCAGATTTACAAAATACAGTGTCAATGTTTTTTTGTATTAGTCTTATAAATAAGACTTTTTGAATTCCAAAACATTACATGTTTTTGTAGGAACACATTATTTTGAGTTGATTTTTACTCAATATTGGTGATTAAAAAAAAAAAAGTACTGTAAATTACCAATAACCTTTCTTCTTCCAGTAGTGCAGATATGATTATTCAGTTGCATGTGTTATTAACTTGTGATAATTCAATAGTAATCATGTGATTTTTTTAAAAACTGTTTTGGGAAATATTTTAAATCCAGCATTTTTATTTATTTTTTTCAAGAATACTCTTGATTTAAGATTTGCAGTTAAGAACTAAGGTAAAAAGTATGTTTAAGAGCAGACAGTGCTTGAATCCTAGTTGAACTTTGATGAAATGTCATTAGACTTTAATCTGTTTATTACTTTAATATGGATCATTTTCAGTTGTAATAAGTATTAATTTCCACATTCTTCTATTTGTGTTACCAAACACTATTGTTATCAAACACTACTCCAGAAGTTACTGTAGGTTTGGGTGTTTTTAAGAATCAGTGACACTGATCTTGAAGCTTTCAAGGTTTTACAACCATTGTTAATTTAAAACTTTTTTTCACAGTTTTGTAAGTAAGCCCTTCTGTGAACATTTCCAAGTCTGTATGACAGTTAAAATACAGAGAAGTTGAATACCTTAGTATAAACTGTTCAGATTTATTTACTTTCTATAAAGTGTATATACAAATATTGCTAATAATTTTTGCTTTGGGCTTACTCTGTTCCAAAAGTAACCCTATATCAAAGCTTGCTGTTAGAACATATTCTTTTCTCTACAAAGCCTTTCATACTTCATTGTTTTTAAGAAAGAATGGGCTTATTTAAAGGAACCAGCCACAGGGGGTTCCATGGTCCCGGACAGTCAGCTGCAAGTTTCCAGGACTCTTAGCTGCAGGGCTCTGTTACAAGTAGCCAAAGTGTTAACAGCAAGGGTACAGTTTCCAGGTTCTGAATCCAACTGTGTGTGTGTTATCCCAGAATGCATTTGCTTGCCGGTTATACACTAATTCTTATCCCACTAGTTTATTGTCATGTGTATAGCATGCTGTTCAATGATATTACACCTTACTAACTGTTTAGATGTTGTGAAAGAGACCCAGAATTTTTCGGTCCAGTGCTGTTTTGCATGTGCTCTGTGATCCCCACATTAATAGGGTGTAACTTGACAGGTAGCTTGTGATTACCTACTCCTTGCTTTTGTTTTTCTATTTGTGTTTATACAAGTTTATCATAGAAATATTCACTGAGTGAATATCAAATAATATTTGATTAAGGTTGGCTGTGATTATTAGCAAAGAAGTAAAATTACAAACCTTAATTTCTAAATAGAATAAATTATTCTCATTTATATTACCTGTATTCACTTTCCATTTTGTATAAACAATTTTTATACTTTTGATAAGTTGTTTTATTTTATTAAGTACATGTGTTTGTAAGAAAATATATCAGTATATTCTTCTTCTTAGAAATATGGGACTTGCCACTTCTAATCTAAGAATGATTGAATACTAACCAATAAACAAATTACTTGGAAAACAGTTTTTACACTAAGACAGTTGATGTTTGTATTTCATTAACTATAATTTTAAAACAATTCTATTAAATATTTTTGTTGTAGTGTTCAAAATTAAAGCAGTTATTTTTTGGTAAGCTGGGGAACCAAGTTATGGATATGTTGATCTACTTAAAGGAGTGGGGGAGTAACATATCTTATTGGATCAAATGAAGCAGAAGTTCAATAAAGTTTATAATGTTTACTTCAGATTCTAATAAGTCACATAAACTGATCCAGCTCTTTGTGTAAATGTTTATCAACTTAGTAATTTCAGAATTGTTGATTTTTGTCAGAATGTCTTGTGTAACACTTAAAATTTACTTGATCTTTAGAACGTTATTTCATAATTTTGTAGTGGCCTTCTATAGAATTATTTTGTGAAAAAACAAGTGCTATAATCTGGTTTTAGTAAATAAATTCTATAATTTAATGAAACGTAATGTGTAGAACACAAACACTTGTAAAATTGCAATATTAGGATGAAACTATAGCCTATTGACATGGTAATCTATGATATCTTTATAAACACTGTTATTTAGAAACTTTGAAAAGGGAGGATCACAAGACAATCTTTTTCAAATGTCTATACTACAAATTATGTAATTGCCAAAGGAATACATTAAAAGTAATTTTTAGTTTCTTCACTTTTTTATAGGAGGAGGTATGTAGTATAAAATGGGATAAAACCATATCTGACTTTTTCATTTTAAATTGTAATTATTAGAATTAACAGCAAGATAAGATAATTGTGTTCACTCTTACACATGTTTCATAGGATGATTTATATGTTTCAAGAATTTTCTTTCACTTCCTGTGAAAATAATTAAAATATATGATCATAATAAATGAGTAAAGAAGACTGAGTATTGTAAGTAGTCTTAAATTAATTGTTAAGGTTAATTTGTTAATATATGTGATTTATGTTATCTGATTTCTAAATGTTAATGAACTTCCAAAAAGAAACCAAAAACAAAATAATCAAACATTTTAGTGCTCCTGTTTTGTTGGTGATTTTTGGCTACGTGTGCTGTTTTGGCTCAAGTCTTGGCAGTATGTTAGCAAGTTTAAAACAGATCTATAGAGTACATATTTGCATTGTTTGTTACTGCTGTGGCTTATTGATGTTAATTTAACTCATACATTTTTGTGTGAGTCCGATAGAAACAGATTTCTTTACATGCTTCATTTTGACCACTGTACTTTCTGCAGAGTTCCAAACTAAAGTTTGTGGCAATATTAACATGTTAATACTAACCTGATATTTATGTATGCTTGTTTATAAAGAGGTTAATAAAACTATTCTTCTAATATAGTAGTTCATATACAGAGGGTTGAGTATGCTATATTATAATGCATTTGAATATGCAAATCAGCAGAGTCATGTGATAGCCACAGCCAATGTAATAAGCAGTGGCATGTCATATATCACATATATATATCATATATATGTTGTGCATTTCATAGGTAGTGTGATGCCACCAAAAATTTATTGCTTTTTTAAAGGGTATGTAATAGTCCTTTCCAATGCAAAATATTCATACACTCAGATCTTAAATATGTATTAAAAAATGAAATATCTTTTATACTTAAGGCCATTGAAAAATAATGAATAAGGATCAATTTGGGGCACCATGAGCATCCAGAAAAAGACTTGCAACAAGACTTACCCTAACCATGATAAGTAAAGGTAAGAATCCATGAACATAAAGGTCAGAGGTAAAAACCATCCACATGCTCCAAGAAACAGTATGCAGCATAATCAAGAAGAATTCCTGCCTATAAAAATAACACAAGTTGCTTCCATGACATATTTGTTCAATCATCACATACATCAAGCAGCTGGAGAATGAAATGAGTATTCATGTTATTCCATACAAAAATAACCTAACAATGAAGATGCATGTTGCAGCACTTGAGGGTTTTTGTGTGATCAGATTGTTGAAATGAGCACTGGTAAATGATGTCCTCGTATAGTAGATAGATTATGAAAAACCTGCAAGAAGGAGTGATGTGTTCTTGACCTGACACTTATGTTGGAGCCTTATGCAATGGAAACTATGCTGCAGGGCTTAGTCAAGATGCACAGTCTTCAGATAGAGCATGACTAGATGTAGCAATGTGTACTTTAACAATGTGATTAGGCTCCAAAATCATTTTAATATAATGTACTCAACCTATCTGTGTATGTGTTTTGTAATATTTCTTGTCTAATTGATTTAAAGGATAACATACAATTGGATCTTGAACACTTAACTTGTTTTTAATGTGCATACAGTGAGCTCTGATGTTGTTTACTGTAAGACAATATTTTTGGTTATACTTGTACATATTTATGAAGAATTGTTTTTCATTAGCCTAGTGGTTCACCTTACCACACGGTAGTCCCAACTGACAATTCCTGGGATGGTTGGAGTCTTGGTAAGTTGTGCAACTGCTACAAAAGATATTATCTTAAAACATGATATTAGGTTATTGTAATTATTGACCTCATGCAAGTTGCCCTTTTCAATACATAATTTTAGTGCAAAAGTGGGAAAATTTTTCTCCTCTATGTAGAAATGTTTGTATTCACATACGTTTTATATAGTTATTAAAATGTGACAATTTACTTTTTTAATTGTCTTATTACAAATTCTTTGACAACTTTCTGGAAATTCCACCTCCTTGCAGCATGGATTTTAATATAAGCATGGAGAAGCTCCTGAGACTTGGACAATCTTAGATAGGCTTTTATGAATTTAAATTTTGAAAAGCTCTCCGTGGATATGATATTTAGAAGAAATCATGTGCACAAACAGGTAACTATTAGGTGTGCTATGCCCCTTAGTATTGATCAAGATGTCTGTACATCTGGTAGTAAGATTACTAGGATTCAGTGTTTCCTGGATCTTATTTTATTTGCTTTAATATAATTATTAACAGTTTCATAACAGCTCAAACAGTAGTCACTGAACTTTAAGTAGGAACATGAGAGTAACACACGCATATTGGGGTACACTGCTCTTGAACCATTTTTTGTAAATAAAGCACAGTGTATTCCAAGATCTTCAGTCCTAGATTTGTAACTAGAAAAGCATTTCTTTCATCTTATACAACTGTCCAGTAATTTTTTACAGTTGATGATTTTTTCAGGTCTTTTGTTCTTATTGCTCTTTCAAAACCATTTTCTCTGTAATGAAGAAGGATTTGACTAAATTATTAACTATCAGTTCTCAGAGTTGACCTGCTTGCTGACTAGATTTATTTATATAAACATATAATACCAAATTATTAGAAAAATTAGAAATCTGTATTATGCATGTTCCTCTGCTAATGATACAGTTGCAGTTTCATTAGGAATACTTTCTTACCATTTTTACACTCCCATCTAGTATTGGAAAGAGGTTTGAGAGTGATATTGTCAAAGGACTTCAAAATAGGCAAAATAGTATATATTCTTTGAAGAGAAGTTAGAAACGTTTTTAATTAGTTGCAAAAATTTGCAGCATCACATAGTAGAAGGGCAAAGAATGATAGTCACAAGGAATGAAAAATGTCATTTAATTGCTACAACCTACATTGAACACCTGTATGTTGGTGACTCATATTTCTGTTTATTATCATATCCCTGACTTTGGGAATCTTTAAAGATTATTCCATGTTTTGTAAGCTCTTCAAGAATGACTTCTGATAGAGGTGCTCTCAACATTAATGAAGGTAATAATATCTTCCTCAACATTACTTGGACATTGTTTTTAAAATTTCTAACATCCACTCTTGATGACTTACATCAGAGACACAGCTGACCATTAAAAAGTAGTACGTTATACATTTAATCTATGGGACAGTTACAGTAATGACTTTTTTAGAACATTGTATTAGCTCATTCTAGACTTAATGGTTCAACTGGTGATTCTTGCTTCATTGTTTATGAAACTACAAATGTGTTCATTCATTAAAGGCTCAAGTTGCATCAATTGCACATGAGCTAAAAATATCTAAAAATGAAAGTAAAAATTTCAACAAAAATAATACAAATATGTGTAATACTTTCAGTATCTGTTTTCACATTGTTTATACACCTCATTACCTGTAGGTTTTAAAGTTTTCAAATTAAACCTTAGTTCTTTACATAAAAATGTAGCATAAAGCTCTTTGTAAATGTAAATAACATTTATTTCATCATGATGAGGAACTCCATTGAAGTAAACATGTGTATACTAGGGAAGACTGACATGGGTATTAAAAACTTTTATTTAAAACACAAAACAAATGATGTTTTGACCTCTTATGTCAAGTTAAGAATGACTTTTGAAAAAGTGAGTTATTGATCACATGTCAGGGGTATGACAGTAATGATAGGTATAAGATTGTAGGGGACATTGTATATATTTAATCTATTATATATGGTAGTTAACAGTGTAATATCATGTATGAAAACATTTAAGAAAATTAATAATATAGGTAAAGAAGTCTTTCTTGGTGATGGTTCAATGTGAATAGTATAGATTCAATGTGCTTTATTGACTGGAATGATGATATATCTATCATGCAAATAATCTAAATGTTCAATAACTTTTCATACTTGTAATCAGAGGTTATCAGATAATTCATGGTAAATGTAACTATAAATGCAGTCTCCAATTTTAGTGTCTAAAACAAAGAGAAACAGGTCCAACAGTTGGACAGATTCTGTTGAAGAGTTTAGGCTCCTGGATGCTATATTTAAAACAAAAGAAGCTGAACAAGAGAAGCATGAATCTTGTGTGAAGTAAGTAGGCTAATTATTGAAACTATAAAAAATAGTTTCTATACTTGTAGGGTTTTTCTAATAATGTTAATATTTTGGTCAGAATTTTGTCACTTACTTAATGGTATTTATTTAACTAAAACTATATAGTTTAGTTGACACAGATTTTTGTTTAGTTAGTTATGGCTTAGATCTGACATAAAGTTGATCACTCATTCTTTACTTTGTATTTTATTCTACACTGTTTTAACTTTTATTCAGTTATTTTTATGTTTCGTACAATCTCTTGATTTGAAAATTCAGTGATAATTACTAACCCAATGTTTTTTATTTGAAAATTCAGTGATAATCACTAACACGATGTGTTTTTGATTTGAAAATTCACTGATAATTACTAACACGATGTGTTTTTGATTTGAAAATTCAGTGATAATCACTAACATAATGATACAAAGTCATCCATTGGGAGGTCACTAAATTTCCTAAATAACTTTTTGCTTATAAGTTAATGTTCTGCCGGTACCAATTCATGATCTTTGAACTTGATAGTTTCTCTAAAACATAACTTTGTATATTCCAGGCTACTTGATCCACAGTTAGCTACTCAGTATGACCAGTTTAAGAAGACTTATGCTGAAATCCTATACCGCTGGAAACTTCTTGAGCAGCGAGCTATGGTGTTGAAAAATGTCTTAACAGTTCCTGAAAAACACAAAGGTGTTGGTATGTTTCAAGGTCATGTGATAAAATATATGCTGTGTGAAATCTAAGTACTTTCCCTTTATTTGACAGTGTCTTTTTATCCCATAGAACGCTTCATGTTTCTGGTTAATTTGACGTAAAGAAACTTAATGTTGACTTTAGTATTAAAAACCATTTGTTCCTCCTTCATACATCTTTAATATGAACTTTTATTTTTATTGTACATGTAGAAAATGGAACTAACTGTCAAATTTGTTAGGTTTTGTTCTTTCTTGTAGAGTTTGTGATCAACTATAAACAAAAGACTAGTCTTCTATAAACAGTGACTAGTCTGACCATTTTACAGTTTGGTATTGGTTTGCTGAACCATCTTTCTTTTGTAGTCTGTAATTAACTGTCAAAATTAACCTATATTTTCTTGTAGAGTATTGTATTCTGCTTCCTTAGATGGATACTCATCAACCATCTTGATGTTTATACATCAACATTGATTAGCATTTTTTTTTTCATCCCTGTTTGTTAATGCTAGGTAATACAATAAAACTGATGAAGTGTCATACAGAAACACATTATGGTATTATGAGGCTTTGGTGTCTGTTATGAAAAACCTACTACTACCTAAATTATTTTGTATTAACAAACTATATAACACACGATACAAGTACAGGTTTATTGCTGCTGCTGAAAAGCTACTACTAAGGATTTATCAATCTAATTAAGGTCTGAAATACATTAAAGAACTGGTTTTAATCTCTTCATTATCATTGGTCATTTCACTGAGTGTAAAGAAAATATTAAAAATGTTCAGGTAAAAAACATTAGAATTTTTATTTTATTTTAATAATCTTAACAGTAGTGTTCCTACTAATAAAATTCACCAGGAATTTAAAAATACTGTAAGCATTCTGGGAAATTATTATATTGTTTTAGTAAACACTGATGTTACTATGATAATGTTAGGTATAAAATTATAAATGTTTCACAATATATGAATTCTTAAAAGCTACATATTTTTTACCTGACAACTCTTTTTTTTTTTTACAATGCAGCCAACATATCTCGGCAAATATAAGGAATACTTATGGATAGTAATTTCAGTCCATAAGTTTGAGATGTGTATTTATTCTCTTGACACTGACAAGCACATTATCCACCAGAACTCATTCAAATCTGTTAAAAAAATATTTTGCTTTGAAGAAAGCACGTTACTTGAATTTAGATACAACTGTCATTAATCTAACTTTTCTTTAACAATACATCACTAGTTTTTGTTAATTACTTTAACTGTTATATTTATCACTTTTGTTATTTATTGAAATCATATTATTGCTGTAATATTTCTCTTATTATTATTTTTACATTCTGGTTAGTTCTTAGGGTTTAACTTTATCTGTTACTTCCAGCTGCCTACTCAGTAAATTGATCATACGGGGTTAGGTTATAGTTAAAGTCTGATTAGTTGAGATAAACACAGTCCATTATATGATTAGTAAACTATTTTTGTTTTTATTACAATTAATTGGTTATTCTAATAAAGTATTAATATTTCAGTATTTATTGTATGATGTTGTTATTCATTTAATTTATTTTTATCTTTATAAACATTAGTTTTTTGTAGTACTAACCCATCCTGCAGTCTAACTTTGTTGTTAAATAGTAACATGTTATAGTAATTTGTATCATAAGAAGTCTACTCAAATGTTACGCTATTTAATGGTCACTAGATTCTGATCAGGAGGATTATATAACTTTCTAAATACACTCACACTAACATCTCAAGGTGCAGGGAATTGGTGATTGTGCATGAGGCAAACAATTATTTATGCCAGTTTTATTTAAAGTATCGATTAAAATGATTATTATTTATATATTATGTGTTATTTATTGTTTTGATTATTTTTCATTGTTAGCTTAGTATATAGATTTAAAACTAACCTAAATTTTCTAAACTGGCATAATTTTGTGCGATATTATTGTGATTATGACCAAAAAAATATGGCTCAAAGCTTTGGTACCCAACTAATGAAATAGTGCATTCTAATCATTACAGTTTTTTGTTTTATGACTTTGCATACATCTAGTTATAGCAGTATATTAAATGAGTTATATTAATTACTAAGTTAAGTTTTAGTTGTGATTGTTGGAACTAGATAGCTTATTCTGACAAACTGTTAAAGAAAATTGCTCTAACTGCCTGTAAACACTGGCCAGCCTTTCTGCTGTAGAGTGTAGTTCTGATTGTAAAGAAAAAGCTACTTTATTTTGCAAATAATGTAATTGAATCCTAAAATACGTTAGTCATTCTGTTGTAGAGTTTGTGACTGACTGTCAACACTGCCACAAGGATGGAAGAGGAGCACAGTGTTTCCACTGCAAGGAATATAACTTTCAATGTGTGATTTGTCATGTTTCTGTCAAAGGTAATGTAGTTTTTCAACACTGCTTGTGTCAGCCATTACATTAATTAATTTTCAGTCTTAGCAGTTGGAGTAATTCAGTTTAAATACTAAGGCTTTCATGAAGTATTCATTCTAATGTGTAATACTGTTCAGTTTTAAACATGTCAAATACAAGTTTCAAAATTTAGGAAATCTCCAATGAAATAACTGTCAAAATGGATGAAGGCTTTCGTAAACTAACACAAACCACGAGTCTTGAAGATGGTAAATAACTTGAAAAAAGTCATTGCAGGCTCAATTTATGGTTTGAATATGATTTTCTTATAAAAAAAGAAAAACAAACAAGTGTATGCTTTGCAAAGAAAGGTGTAATTATACAATAAAAGAAAGAAAGAAATTAATTAATGATACGTGTGAAAAATTTAAACTCAAAATCTCTGAGTACTAGGTAACCCAGAACAAATGAAAAATTCACATGAGTAAAGAGAACTTTGTCTAATAGTAGGTAAATACAAAATAGAGTTTAACGTAATCTAAGGTAAAGTTAAGATTCACTATTATTAAACAATAAATTTATATGGAAGCAAGTTTTGACACTTTCGCGTGTTCTCTTTCATCCAAAAAAATGTCTGAATGAAGGGTACATGTGAAAGTGTTGAAAATTGTTGTTCCAAAATGGTGGATCTTAACGTTATTTTAGAGCTGTGTCTCCGTCTTATCTTCCTTTTTTAATTTTGAGTTCTCCCAAAAACACTTGATTAGTTTGTTCTCATTTGGTTTGTTTGTTTTGGACAAACCAATATTCTAGATTTTTAATTATGAACTGTCCATGCAGTGATGAGCCATTTTCTTGTTTGGTACTTTTTATGTAATCAACTAATTAACTGAAGGTTATTTAATATATTTATGTGTGTGTGTGACTAATAGCTAGATGACAATGATTAGATAAAAGGCTGAGTAAGAACCCCCTAGTTGCAGAATGACAATGGCCAGATAAAAAGCTCAGTAAGAACCCTTAGTTGCAGAATGAAAATGGCCAGATAAAAAGCTCAGTAAGAAGCCCTGGTTGCAGAATGAAAATGACTAGATGAAAAGCTCAATAAGAACCCTTAGTTGCAGAATGACAATGACTAGATAAAGAGCTCAGTAAGAAGCCCTGGTTGCAGAATGAAAATGACTAGATGAAAAGCTCAATAAGAACCCCTGGTTGCAGAATGAAAATGGCCAGATAAAAAGCTCAGTAAGAACCCCTGGTTGCAGAATGAAAATGGCCAGATAAAAAGCTCAGTAAGAACCCCTGGTTGCAGAATGAAAATAGCCAGATAAAAAGCTCAGTAAGAACCCCTGGTTGCAGAATGAAAATGACTAGATGAAAAGCTCAATAAGAACCCTTAGTTGCAGAATGACAATGACTAGATAAAGAGCTCAGTAAGAAGCCCTGGTTGCAGAATGAAAATGACTAGATGAAAAGCTCAATAAGAACCCCTAGTTGCAGAATGACAATGACTAGATAAAGAGCTCAGTAAGAAGCCCTGGTTGCAGAATGACAATGGCCAGATAAAAAGCTCAGTAAGAACCCCTGGTTGCAGAAGGACAATGACTAGATGATATGCTCGGTAGGAGAGAACCCCTACTCACAGAATGACAATGACTAAATATTAAGCTCAGTAAGAGAACCCAAACCAATTGTAGTTTTCTAATCTGATAGTTGCTTGAAAATATCATCTGTAACTGAATATCAAATGCAAATTCCCCAAATACCAATAGTTGAAAGACAAGATTCAATGTAGAGATTTTATTGAGTATAACTGAAAGAAATTTATAGCAGAGATAAAGACTTGTATTTTTATACAGTATGTTTAGTTTTCTGTACTTCCACAACTATAATCTCTAGAGGTATAAGAATATTTTGCCTTCTCATTATGTCAAAAGCAGTCTATCAGCTTGCTGAAATGAAACCTTTTTCATACAACCAAAAAAATTGTATCTTGTCTCAGGTGACAGTAATTTAATTTATTTGTTTTTAGATAAGCTTTCATATGGGATGTTGACAATGTTTAAAGTTCAGGGCAGTTTGGTATGTAGTTTTCAAAGTAAGGATACAAATTGCTTTATAGTCTTAGAAAGTAAATAGTGTTTCTTCACAATTAGTATGAACACAGCATATTCTAAAATATAATTCAGTTCCTTGAGCATAATGAACTGCTGATAAAGTAAAGTTTTTGTATTGTTGATTGGTAGTAAATAGTTATGAATGGCATCAGGTTACAGTATAATAGTTGTGTTTCTTTGCTGGATAATATGTAGTAATAATGAACAGTTGATTTTAACAGAACATTAATGTCTTTTATTTAGGTTCATCAAACTTCTGTCTAGTCTGTGGTCATGGTGGACACACGCACCATATGTTAGCATGGTTCCAGGAAATGGAGGTGTGTCCATCAGGGTGTGGATGTCATTGTATAGAAAAGAGTGACATATTTGGGCCATAATGTTACTGAGATTTACTAAGACTTGTAAAACAATGCAAAGTGTATCCTACCAGAACTGAAATTATACCACCCGTTTATTGTTTTGGTGTATAGAAAACTACAAAACGGGTATATTTTACCTTTCGTACATTTCTGTTTGTTTGTTCTTTTGAAAATTCAAAATACACTAATTAAAGAGAAGTATTAGTGTGTGAAGATTGTTTTGTTTCGCAGGAATATTTTCTTCAGAGCTGTTTATTACAATGACTGAACAAGATTTAGTGGTTAGCATGCAATATTGTGGTGCTGAGGCTCTGTGGTTCCCATCCCCTTACCATGGGTGCATTATAAGACTGATGATAAAATCTCACTGTTTGGTCTGACTGAAGTTGGCAGAGGGTGGTGTTGACTAGCTGCCTTTTTTTTAATCTACCACTTCAAAGTTAGAGATGGCAAGCATAAATTGTCATTGTGTAGGTTTGTGTGAAATTCAACAAACAAATAACGTTATTACAATTCACAGGTTAATGACTAACTGCTAACACGAACTATGCTTCATTAGCTTTCACTGAACCAAAATATTAGCTATTCACATGTAATATTTATATTCAGAAAAATGATTCAACATTAATTCTAGTAACAATATCATCAAGATGATCAAAGACTATTGAATTTTGTGTACCAAGAATTGTATTACTATTTGAATTTGTAAAGTTTTTACTACTACTAGTTTGACAACTGGCACCTAAAACCTTAAAAATAAATATTGTATTCTGCAGCAAGCTGTTACACCTAAGTATTCAAAATGTTTTAACCAAATCTATCAGAAAATAAAATTTAATTTGATATTAACAAAGAACCTTTGTTAGCTTGATTATCAATGTTTCTGTAAGTTTTCCTAAAACTATATAAGAATATAGAGACAGAGATCAAAAGATTTAAATTTATAGCTTGTAAATTGTGAAAAAAAGCTGATTTAAGAACTCTTTTTGCTGACCCCTTGTCATATACAATGTCCTGAGATATTAAGCCACTCCTGTAATTTATCTTTTTTCCAAGACTATAAACGTAAACAGATCATGGAATTTAAGCTCCAAGATTATTAATCTGAATCTATAATTCAAACACCCATTAAAGGTTGGGAGTTAATCTTCACTTAACTCGTAACTTGCATCTTGTTGAGACACTGATATGTCATCTCCACACCAGAAAAAAGGGTAGTAGCAAGCCACAGAAAATATTCAATATGTCAACAAACTGTCTAGAACTTTCTCTAAAACAGTGACTCATATTGTTTTTATTTTGTTTAAATGTTGCATGATCAATGCAATTTTCAGTGAACTCAGTTTATTGTATTGTCTATTTGATTTTCTCTTGCAATGGTTTTTGTTCTTCTACTAAAAAATCCCCATTTGTAGATTTTTCATTACTGAGGTGTTATATCTATCACTAGTCTAATGATCAGTTTTTCTTACTTTATGTTTATTGACACAAATTTCTAAACTAAACACCATTTTTAAAGAATATCGCCAATTGCCACGTGTTATTTTCCTTGTTTGAACTAGTACAACATTTAGCATCATGTATGAGTAGATTCTGAAACATAATTTTCTAAAATCGAATTATCAAACATAATTTGAGATATAATGTAAAAAATGAAAAAAAAAATCATTTGATAAAAACATTAGTAGATACTAAACTAAAATGTACACAAATTAATTTTAGCTAACCTACTTGAGTTGCCTTTTATAATTGCAGTCAAAAACTAACTGGTGTATGGAAGCATATAAACTATCTTTTAATGTTATGAAAAAAAAACTCTCTACCATAAAGCCATTACAATAAATTAATATTAACTTCTGGTAAAAGTAAGCCACTTACATAGATCTGGACTAAAATTATTGTTTGAGTGGTGATATCTGAGGCAACACTAATGTATTGGCTTTTTCATAGGACAAAAGAGTTCCAAACAACAATCTAATCATCTTTATTCTGGAGCAAGTCGTATAACCAAGTCTCAACAGGAGAAGACCTCAAAGTAATTATTATTGTATTATAATTCAGAGCAAACTACGTACATGGAGTTGAACAAAATATTGTTTGACTGAGCAATAGTTGAGTGGGCATTAATATTATGTATTAGCTTTCTCATAAAACAGAAAAGCTGTCAAAACAACAAACCACTTTTCATATAATGTTGGGCATATTTCATGGTTTCGTTAACAAGTTGATAAACAAGTATCTTATGTTGGGTAATAATCACAGGTCAAAAGCTCACCTTGTAGGCACACTTTGAAGTCAACAACTGTTTTCATGAGAAAGATGACTGAAGAAACTGGAATCACAATATCTTGGACAGATTTACCTGAAGAAGCCCATCTCTTCTCCAGATTGCCATTTTTAACTTAGCAGTGAAAGACCAGAGGGAACGCAGCTAGTTAACACCACCAACTCTTGGGCTACTCTTTTTACCAATGAATAGTAGGATTGACTGTTACATTATAATGTCCCCACAGCTAAAACCATCCCAGAAATAAATAAATATCATTCTGTCATTCATGAGGCACTACAGTTGAAAACTAACTAGCTTTATTTTAGGAAGGACTTAAAACCATATCATAACTAAATGATTTGTGTGCATTTTCTACAGCAAAATAGCAAGATGGGAGAGAGTTTATTAATTTTTCTTGATAAATTTAAATTTAACAAATGTATGCTTAACTGTTTAACAGATAACTAGACGAACACTTTACTGAAAACCTGTAAATAAAAAAAGTTTTCAAAATTTCATATTTCAACAACAATGTAAGTGAAAAGAATATAAATGTTTACATGATGGCATCAGGACACAAAATGTTATTTTCCAATTAATGATAATTATATAAAACTTATCCTTCAAGGTAACATGTGATATCCCTGGATAATGCTTACAGAACACTTATCGAGTATATTCAGAAAACAAGTATATAGAAAACAAAACGTGTTATACACTCTCACTGGTGGTTTCAGCCAAAAGATATTTCGTGCATTTGACAAAGTATTCCAAACTACTTTCCGTCCTGTTATAGAAGTCGCCATGATGAAAAAAGGAACGTTTGAACCAAACTTTCAGTCACACATTTGGGTACCAGCATATTCACTAAAAACCTACTTTGTGTTAGCTACTATAGCTGACCAATGATTAAAAATCTGTGGTGGTACCACAGACCTAAGAAAATATCCTATTTCATGATTGGTGGTGGTACCACAGAGGTAAGAAAATACTCTTATCTCCATGTGTGATTCAATTTACATACGGTTTTAGGCTTAACTACAGCAAGATAGGTAAAACTAAATTCCCAATAAAATAGGACTATAAAGACTCCACACTGACTAGTGTATGTTAAGTATACAATGTCCACCAAAAGTGAGCTACATTATGTCTAACGTTAAAATGTTAAGTAAATTAAATGAAATTGGTACGGGTTGAGAGAAGGAACGAACTTATTACAATTCTTCAATGTGACCTGTATAATTCAAATCGCTCTTCTGTAGTCTGTAGCCCTGATTTACGATTTTTGTTTGGGAACGATTCTTTAACAACCTCTAAAAGTTATTAGTCTGTCAGGGTTTAGTATAAAAAATTATCGTTCAGTCAAACAAAGTATACAACTGTAATTATAAGTAATGATAACTAATTACGATACAATCGGACTAAAATATTGAAACATAAGACAAATTAACAACATTTGATTATATTTAAAACATCACTCGGAATTTTACCAGTTGATAAAAAACAGAACTTGGTGTTACGACAGCGGAAGTCATGTGACGTTGATAACACGTAATGAGTATCTAGAATATTTGCGAAAAACGCTAGTGTGTTACGACAGCGGAAGTCAAGTGACTGGTAGCACGTGATGAGTGTCTAGAAGATTCTCGAAGAGGCTACACGGGCGGTATTATCGTATATAAGTGCGCTAGACAAAGGAGAGAGGAAGAGTGGGGGGAACCAAGGACAGCAGTTACGGTCGGTGGGAACCGAGGATAGCAGATCGGAACTATAGTTGCTGACAGGCGGAGATAGAGACTGACAATTAAGTCAAGCGTGGTAGTAAAGAAAATTAACAAACGAACACAGAGGCGTAACATTGGAATGCTACTACAGAGAATGAATTTCTAAACTAAAAGACGTATATGAGTGTATAGAATAAAACATTTTTTTTTGTACCTACGATTATTGTGTTTTAAAGTAAATTATAAAAAGGGAAAATGAAAAGAACCTAATCCTGATAAATATTTTAACAAAACTCCAGACGTTTGTCTACAAATGAACCAATGACGCAAAGTTAATTAATAGAAAAATAAAACTTCGTATGAACCCAAAGACGTTTCCGAGTTTGAAATTAAAACGAAAATAGAAAAAAATAATATACTAACACAAAATATGTAAATGAGTAACATTGTGTAGTTTTATTATGTTATACATAACGGTGTGTTAACTCCTGCAATATTTAGTACAAGTGAGTTTTTGATATAATTATAAGAAATTGTCAAACAGTAACACTTTTCTGTTGTTTAATTCGATGGGTCTATTACGCCGTTTATACTTCATACTGTTACGTCTCTGGTCGTTTGTTAATTTTCCGTAGAAATTCTTTCGGAAAAACTTCAGCGATATAAGTCCTTTCTTAAATAAAACTAGTTTATTCTTTCTCAATTCAACTTTGCAATACACTTAATTTCTACAGTCAGTTTAACTTAGCACACGCTAGAATTCATAACGATTCACGCACTTTACTTATGGTCACTACCGCTCACTTGACTCAATTATCTGTCTTATCTGCTTTATTTACCGGGCTTATATACAAAAATGGAGGGCGTCTGGCAAACACTAGAGTTGTCAGGAACAGTCATGATCCTTCTAGAAACTCATGACGTGTTACCAGCGTCACATGACTTCCGCTGTCGTAACAATACGTTTGGAGATTACGCCGCAATGCTGATAAACATGTATGGTGGTGGCTGTAATATTAGAGTTACAGTCAATCCCGTTATTCGGTTCAAAGATCTTGTGGAGACAAATGATTCTGACTGATTGGATTTTTAGGAAACTTTTATGGTCTTTGTTGTTAAACACAAAACTACTCTGCGAGCTATTTGTACTCAGCCCACTGCAGGTATCGAAACCCATTTTTTCTTTACACAAACGTCAGAAATATGTATATTTAAACGTG